GAAGGAATGTTGTTGTCTTCTAATTTTAAACAGAACTAGTGAAAACACAGTGGGCAATGCAAACGTTTCTAATAGAAAAGGATCATGGGTAAGCATGGACAACACACAGTCCCTCTGAGAGTGCACCTAAGGTGAAAGAAACATTATGGTTTTCTAGATCAAAGTAGATTTGGGTGAGTTGGAAAGGGCAGCATGAGGTGCTATGCTTGGAATTCAAACAGAAGGATGAATGAAAGTACAAGACATGCCACCCGATTGCAGGCATGTCCTGGAAAGGCAGGTACACCCTGAGATTTTATATTTTAATATGAAAAGTAAATAGACAGATTTAAACCTGGCCATTGTCTATGTAAACCTGAATAAAAAAATGTAAAAACCAAAGGTTCATTATTACCAAGCTTAGACTATCTTCTATTTTCTCACAGAGTCTCACACTCCCTTTTCAAGCTAGCCATGTGTTCCACTTCCTATCTAGGCATTTCCCTCATTCGTTTTCCTCACTGACCTATAGAAACAGCTTTCTCTGCAAAGCTGCCATTTTGCACAAATAGAGAAGTCCTGCTCACAGGTTACATAAATTAAAACAGCTGTTCAACTCCTGTGGGTCTGGAAGGCTCAGTTCAGCTCCTCAACTACTAGAACACCCCCAGGAGAATCCCATAGTGTTCCCTGATAGGTGACAGGCTGCATGTTTTTCCAGCTCATGTGCATTCCTGAATTTGGAAACAATTTCATATTGGTCAGGGGCAATGCCTCTCGTTGCCTATATAGGTATCATTGTGATGGGCACTAACTTGAAGCAGGAGAATGAGACTGAGCTGAGAGCTGGAAATAAAGTTTACATCCATTCCTGTCCACCAGTGCAATGGCACTCATGGCTTCCAACTTCAGGGGTCTCATTCATTATTCATTGGTATAACTTACAGACAATTTGATCAAGAAAATATCCATTATTCTACCCTACAAGTATTATACAAAGTGTTTGGTATAATATGAATGTGTTAGAATGCTTGTGGTGAAAACATATCTCCTAGGTTACATACAGGTATGAAAGATGCAACCTAATATGATTTGTTTAGATCAAGAGGGCTCCACCCTCAAGACATAGATTAGATTGGTGCCATTATGAAAAGGGGTAGCAGAACGAAGTTTGCTCCTTTGTGTTTCTGTCTTCCCTCCTTTTGTCCCATGAAGGTGTATCAAGGAGTCTCTGAGAGCCTGCCTCACTGACCCAGCAGCTCCCTACATAGATAGTATCATCCTACAAGTGCAAAAATGATTGTATGTATGATCCTTTCTGGGGTCTTCTGAGCGACAGTGGTTGACAAAGCTTCTAGAAGTACCATATTTAGATGAGAAGTTTTCACAGAAAGTTTGGCCATCAATTGCTAATAATTTTGCTGGAAATTATGCTAAAGCTGTCTCTGGATGAGAATCAAAGATGTAGGAAAGACGTATGTATGGATCTGAATTTGGATAGCACCCCGTAGAAATTTTCAGGTTAACATTTCTACAGAAAGAATTGGACCAGGGAACATGGATATTGTAAAAATAGGGACAGTTTATTAAAAAAAGAGCTATAGGATCATGATAAATAATTTTGTTCATCTCTGCTATACCAATTAAATGATTATTAAATATTATTAATTTTCTTTGGGTTTGTATTATTTGCAATTAAAAGAGGCCTGACATACATTAGTGAAATTATGGATTAGCATTTCATTTATAAGATTATGCAATATTTCTTAGTGAACTGTCTGAGCCCTAAGAAGAAGGAAGAGTTCTGAATGTCTATCTTCTCAGTTTACTCCAAAGATGATACACGATTGCATCATCTTACATGCAGAGGCAACAAGTTGATTTGTCACTTCAAGGAATGCCTTTAAGAATTGGAGGCTTAGCTTCTGCAAGAATAGCAGTTTTAAATGAGAAATGCATCATTGATCCATTTTTAATTTTTTTAACAATAACTGTTTAGGTCATATTTTCACCTTGATTCCATGCTGCATGGTGTAGAAGCTCTCAGATGAAGCCTGGTGAGAAAATCAGGACATCACTTACTAACTAGCTGACCTTATGTGGGTCACCCTCTCTGTAACCTTATATATTTTGAAACATGAGTAATAATGTTTATACCTCAGGGCTGATGCAGGCAAGCATGTCATGTGTTTGCCATTAACAAATCCTTAGCTCATGTGAAAAAAATAGCTCCTGCCATTTATATTATTAATATACTTACTTTTCCTTATCAAACATATTGTTTTATTTCTTAACAGTTATCTGGTTGGTTAATGAACACCATTTATTTTTTATAATCTAGACTGTGTTTGAACAAATGAATGAATTTTAGTTTTTGCTTAGTTGCTC